GGGTAGTCTGGGTCCTCTGGAGGACCCGTCCTGTCGTTTTGGACACAGCCATTGCCTTATATGTATTAGCTCGGTGCTAGTGCGACAAACAAGCTAAAATGAGGTCCTCCATCCATATTTTCAGTTACAGGCTGAGTCATTTCTACCTTCTCCTCTCTGTCAATGCTCTCTGGTTTCATTTAAAAGAGTCYATCATCAGATATTGTCCAAGATTAACCTTCAGGATGGATATAGCTCACTAGCAGCCTCGCACTGATGATCTATCCACGTCATCATTTACCCAGAATGCTTTGCATCTAAATAAAATGGCCCCGTCTGTGTAATATATTTTTAAACTTTTAGTTTATATAAAAACTGAACATCCTACAGTATTTTTACAGCCTTTATTTTACAGTTAAAATATATGTTTATTAAATAAAGTCTAATGTTACAACTAATCATGGATCCCTTTAAACAACAGGTCTTTAAAATCCAGCTCTCTTCTTTACACCTGAGCTACTCTCAGGTGACAAAAACATGTTTCRCCACATCACAGGGTTCAACTTCCTGCTACATCCAGAATGTAACCCACTGAAAATAGACTGTTGGAGAGAACAGCTTCCTATAAATAAAGTCATAAATCCTCCACCTGAAGCTGAGATAAGACCCTCATTTAATCGCCCCCAGATTAATGTTTACGTCTCAGTTCGGAGGGTCAACGACAGGAGGGTTAAATGACAACAGCGCTGTGGGTATCTCTGGCTTCTCAGCGTGATCTGCAGCGCTGCCATAGCATGGAGCTGAGGTAAGAGGAGGCTGACTGCAGGAGAAAAATAAGCTCGGCCTTTTTATAACCCGGCACTGTGCAGCGTCATGTTCCCTCGTTACAGGAAGCCTCGGGGAGGGAAGTGAGAGCATGTGGCAGGGAAAGGAAGTCCAGGAACAAAGTTACTCAGACCTGAAGGAGTCCTGATCAGACATGATGTCACCATCAGGGTCTTTTAGATTTAGGATGGTTCAATCTACCAGTGTGGTAAAGATAAACCTTCTCTAACCTGTGTCATTATATTAGTCTTATCTCAGATTTTTATCCACATCAGAAGAGGACTCAAGCTGAGGCGTAACAGAAGAAGCCTTAAGAAGTCAATGAGTACGACTCAGTAGCTATATTGAGCTTAGCTCAGGCCCATTGACCTCCCCGCTCTGCCCCTTCGACTGCGAAGTGACCAAAGGCTTTTTGACTCTCGGCCGGTCAGCGCAGAAACGAGAAGAGTGAGGCGTTAGATACTCAGGGGAGAGAGACGAAGAACCAGAGAGTAATTTCAGAGTAGGCGGCGTGTTTTCACAGCTCAAAGCGAGTTCGAGGACCGTAGATCTGTGCGGGGCAGAGGCCGTCCCCTAATCACAGACACATCACCTTCCCGTTCCCCAACGCGGGCCTCAAAGCCTCGCGGTTTTCTGTTCGCCTCGCGCCTGGTGCGTTCTGACAGGAAAGCAGAGCGAGCTGCACTAATTGAAATGTCAGCCCGTGGAGGGTAATTTCTTCCTCGCCGACAAAGTAAAACAGGCCCAGTAATTACTCTGTCAAATCTATCAAAAATAACTTCTGTACAAGGAGAGCGACTTGTCCTCGAGCACTTCCTTCTGCCGGGCTGAGCGCTTTATCTTCAAATTGTTTAGCTTTTAGTATGTTCCAGATCAGACGGCTGCTGGGATTTTATGATAATGTGAAAACAGGACGTCGTACTACCAAACGATGTCTTTATCAAGGTTCAGTTAAACTGTTTTCTACAATAAACCAAGGATGACTCTCAGTAAAATTACACAACAGAACCACCAAGGATGAATATTTTTCTGTTCTTTGGGCTTTTTTTTTTATCAACCCTGACAAGCAAAACGTGTCTTACCTTCAGTTCAGAATGTCCCTCAAACAAAACTGCAATAAAAATCCAATGGCACAGACTCAGGACCAAAATTCAGTGTGGGACAGAAGGGTCTGGGTTGGAGACCAGCTCCAGCAGTGCAGCCTGCAGCTCAGTAGGGCTCAGGCGTCTAGTGACAGCTGATTTTATTTTAGAAGCCCCCTTCGAGAACAGAC